TATTAGCCATCAAAATAATAATTTCTTCATAAACTGTTAAGGATCAATACGAGGTAACTCCCCAGCCTTTTTTTCCACATATTTCAAGTTGCTTAGCCAAGAATGGATCCAATTTACCTGCCAATTCTAATGCAGCTAAAAAGTTACCATTGTTGAAATCTTCAATCTCCTCTCTATCCCCTCTAAGTGCTAATCCTCTTCTACACAATAATTTTAGACATTCAACAACTCTACGCAATACCTCCCCATAATATCATATTTCATTTTCTAAATCATTGTTTAACTTTGAATCCACAGTTTCTATGCTATTAGTCTGTCCCATCCAGCAGTGCACAGAATAAATGTGAGCTTTACTTAGGTTCATGGTTTTGTATAGCTTTAGAGCCATGCGACCAATTGCAGAATCCTTTTATAAAAGTGTTATCAGAATTTAAAAAAAAATACAATAAAAGCAGAAAAAGGAGAATACATCAACCAATCTCTTTTTTGTTTCACCATTTTTTAGTTGCATTTTAAAAAACTTCAGTGAACAGCATCTCTGAACATCTGTTGAATGCTTACCTCTCTTTGACACTGAAAAATCTTGCTCTGCTATATTTTGTTCTGGAATCATATTTTTTTGAGTTCAAAATTCTATTATTCGTTTCCTGTCCAGTGGCCATAACACTGGATCAGACGAGGGATCATCTTCCTTACCAGAATTAGTAGTGAGATTTTCAATCTGACATGCTCTTTCCTTTTGTGAATCATAAAAGGATGAAGCTGCACTTGTGCTAGAATTTTTAGTTGCTACAGTGGGTTGAGAATCACTCAGGGTAGAAGCTTTGTCCTTGAAAGGGTTGGTTACATTCTTCGGCTTCTATGTTTTTAAGGTGATTTACGAGATCGGTCAAATTGATCTAATCTGCATTGAGTAAGAATAGAACAAATAATAGATAAAATATGATGCTTTATTGAAAAAGAGAGAGTTAAACTGATGATCCGGATTGTCAGTAGGGGTCCTGGCGCAACAGCGCCACGGTTAATGCAGCCCTCGCAGTTGTACAAATGAACATCTATACTATCAGATGCTTACATAGCCTTTTGACTTGTATACTTCAAAATTATCTGAAGGAATTGCAGTTGAAACAAGTAATACACTTTGTTAACCCCTAACAGGTGCCACACCCACCTTCAACAGATTTGTTTGAACTTTATAGCCAACATGTATAGATTACATATGCATGTATATAGTCATCAGAAAAAGCTCATTATAATCTAACAACGGTTATTTTGATTATAACACTTTTGATTATTTCTTACCTAAATATGCTATTGTTAGAGATACAGTTTTAATTGTATTTAGGGCTTACTTATATATTTTAGTTAATTATATATTAGTTTTGCTTTAAAATTGATAATTGAAAGGTTTAAACATTTTTTAAATATACATTATACTTTGCATCAATTCTCAAGGCTTAAGAGATTACAGGGTGAACTAAAATTTTGCCGAAGGATTGCACATCTCCCAGAGACAGTGTTATATGCCTTAAGGGCACCATTGACTTGTGTCAAGATGAAGAATAAAATGTAAAAAACAAGAAAAATAAAACATGAAAAATTAACTATATGTGAAAAGGAAAAGACCTGAAATTATGAATATAACTAAAACAATATCTACAAAAATATTCTACAAAAAATTAAAAAGTATGTACTTTTTCCTATTTCCTAATTTTAATCATTTCATTGCATTGTACATTGATGATAATAGCTAGTTAGTGATATGATAGAGAAAACAAAAAATATAATATAAATATTTACCTTAAAAACTTTTGATATTAATTTAGGAGGTTTAGAGGTTATACAAATAAAATATTAAAACTATAAGGTGTAGAAAAGTATTTTTATACTTAAAATGAAAATCACCTTGCACTCGAACTATTTTAACAGGTTGAGTGCAAATAACTACAACAGATAAATAACATTTTTATTAGAAAGACATAATTAGAATAATGTCATTCTTTGTGTACAAAATATTTATAAACTTTAATAAAATAAAACCATATGTTTTTTGCATAAATGTCTTTCTACAGTCAAAGTGATATGAAATGCAACAGCCTGTGGGGAAAGGGTTAATAAAAAATCAATAAAAATAATTAAAAATTAAAAGTTATAAACAGTTTAACACTAACACAGAGTATCCTCACTATTATTTAGCACTTTAAAGAGTACTAAGACCACACATCTCAAATAGTTAATATGCATATCTAAATTTTGAACTTGTGCCTGTTGGCAGCGACAAAGATTTCATTTGCTAATCTGTAGTTGAAATGTTCAATTTCAAACTTATTCATCGAAAGAAACATTAAGTCTTTGGTGAGTTCTGCAGTCAAGTGGCTTCTTTGGGAGTTGATAAGGATCTCTTTTTTTTTTATCAACATTTAAAGGATTCAAGATCTAAAACAAAAGAAAGTGCTTTCAATATTTTTTTTTCAAAAGTGTCTTAAAACTTTGGACATTTCACAACATAAAAAAATGATTGAAAAACTAAATCAAATTAATGGAATTTCTTTAAACTGAAGCTATATACTATTTACGAATTTCATACAATAATTTTAAGTTTCATTCAAGTTGGTTAAGTATTTCCATTGTCAGAAGGAAAACAATGAATAACAGTGACACCCTCCTAAAAAAAGGTTTAAGATGCATATTACTTTATGATTGCATCTCTCTCCCATTTCTATACTTCCTGTAAATCTAAAATGAGTTTTTTTCCATTCACCTGACTTAATTTCCATCCATGATGCAGGTATTCGCATTAACATGACCAATTAGAAATATAAAGAAGGAATTTGGTTAAAACAGAATAAAGTAAACTTGGAAGCACTCATGAGAAAAAGCTTGCTGATAATGTTACAGCTAACAGAAAGGATTTTTTAAGCATGCTACGGTAATGAAAATGCTAAAATAGGGATTGGGCCCAGGATCCTAGTGCAACAAAGTTTTTGTTAAAAGACTATGAATTAGCTGAGTTTAAATGTTCTCTTCTGCTTTGACAAGAGATATTAACACTATTCTTGACCCTTATCATTCTATGGGAAATATTGAAATTAACATGAATCACATATGTATGAATCTCTTAATAGCATTAGAAAGAGTAAGATTACAAATACATATAGATTCTGTACCATACAAGGTTTACTCTCGTTACTAGTAAAATGATGCATGAATCAATGCTAGGATTTTTGCTTTTTCTTGTTTATATTAATCATACTGATAGGGGCATAATTCATAAATTATGCTGATAACATGAAACTCGTGAACATTTCTAGCTTTACTCTACTAGTAGGTCTGATAAGTGTATCAGTCCTATACATCCTATGCAGATTTGTGTGATGGCCAATTGTAAATACAGTTGCCTTCAATATTTCAAGAAATACTAAAATAAATTCAACAAAACACATCCCTAACACAATATAAACTTATACACCTCACCTAAGTTAGCTATGTTTTCATGATGAAACAAAGGTCTGAAATGCTGAAAACTCAATATTAATTATACTATCTGAGACAACACTCACATAAACATTTTCAAGTAACATTTGAAAAACTTGAACCAGTACTGCATTACTGGACATGTACAACAAATGTCACAAAATCTAAATGAAATGCCCTGTAAAAATGAAGTAAAAAGTTGGTCATAAACTGGAAACACAGAACACGATTATGTTTTATGAAAGCAAAGTAAGTGACATTTGAAGAAGCTAAAGTAATAAGAGTGTTAGGCATAACCTATAAGCTAAGAGAGAAGCAGTTAGAAGTAATGCAGTCTGTTTGTAATTATCTCTATATAAATCTATAGTTAGCCCTCACTTGAAATACCATGTACAGTTTCATCTCCTTATCTAATAATTGATACTAACTTATTGAAAAGGGTTCAGAGGAACATTAGTGGGATGATTCTAGAGTTGAAAGGGTTATCTTTTGGGAATACTTTAAGATCTCTTTAGGAAAAAAAAACAGAAGAGGTGAACTTATTGAAGTTTACAAGATTATCTGGGATATCAATAATAAAAAGGCTTCTTGTTTCTTTGCAGACAATAGGACACATTTAGGTACTTTTTTGTTATACCCCTACAAATTTTAATTTTTCCATTATACTCCCACAATTTTAATAACTTTTAAAAATATATAAATATGTAATAAAATATAAATATGCATTTTATTCATATAGTAAATGTCCACAATAAATTTCTAAAGATATATTAATAAGCACTGTATTCATATAGTAATAACTTAAAATTTGCGGGGAGTATAATGGAAAATTACCCACATTCAAAGTTTGGAAAAGACAAGCTATGTCCATGTTAAGCCAGTTTTCTCTTTCTAACAGAATAATTGGCTTATGAAATTAGTTGCCACCAGCAGTAGTAGAGGTCAGCACTTTACAAAAATTTTCAAAGTAGAATAAATAATTTCCTGAACAATATAGGATTGTTTGAAATTTTACTTTTTCTCAAAGTGGATATAAAGGAACAACCTTCATACACAAAATGGTCTCTCTTTTTTTTGTCTGTATGTTACATGTGTAACTACATTTCCAGTTTGTTTTTTATATCAGTTAAAACATCCTTACAAAAAAATTACATTAGAACATATTTAACGATACTCACCGAAAACTTGTAAATGGGAGATTTTCTCAATTCCTACTTTAATAATGTTTTTTAATTTAAGTTCAGTGTATATTTTATAATAACTAGTTTTTGTAGACATATTTGAGATTTGTAATGCATTTTGTAGTGTAGATTATATAGCATAAAAACAATGAAGTTGAAGGTGACAGAAGACCACTTAGCTAATTGAGTTTACCACTTCATCCACCAAATTACTAAGCCAAAGCACTATAATAAAACTTAATATAGCAATACATTCATGCAACAGCCAAAAAAGGAGTTTTACAAGAGACTTTACCCACCTAAAATTATTTTAAGTTCATCTATAACTGAGCAAAAAAAAATTACCTTTTCAAAACGTACATTGTTTTAGGTGTTCCCAATTCATTGTCAGATGAACTATCTACATTTTTTACACATTTTCTCTTTACTTGTTTGCATTTTGAATCCACAAGTAAAGGCTTCATTGGTTGACTGGCTGATTTACTATAATGTTTTAGCCAAGCTGTTGGCATCTGTGAAAGGCTTGCTGAGAAGACTGAACTGTTCCTTTCAGTTTCAGTTTGACTAGAATGACCAGCAAGAGATATTACAGGATTTTCTGGCCTCAAATTTGTCCAAACACAATTAACTTTTGAGTTAACAGTTTTAAAATTTTGTTTATCAACACTTTGATTTTGTATCAGCTCAGCTGAAACTGGGTTCTGTTCTGTTCTACTACTAGTTAAACTACGCGTACTTTTTACATCAGGACTTATGCTGGAACTAGTAAAATGTCTAGTACTAGTACTAGTTGTATAACTATTAATACAAGAATGTATACTTAAGCCTACTGAACTATTCACAAGATTTGGTTTACTTTCTAGCCTCGTATTAATATTAATAATACTAGTTCTACTTCGTAAAGAAGGTTCAATTATTCTTGTTTTTAAATGTAATGAAGGCGCAAAAAGGTGAGAGTTAAATATATTTTTAGAGAAGCTGCTTCCTTCTTTCTCATCACTCTTTTCGCCACTTGGAGATTGACTGATTCTAGAAGAACTTGTTCTTTTTGTGGCATCTTTCTGCTGGAGTTTTCCTAACGTTAGGCTTAACTGAGTACAGCGTTGTTTTTTCCATATATGGTATCTCTTGATCAAAACTACACTCCAAATAAGAATTAATACACAAATAAAAATTAAAGTAATTACTGGAAATAAATACAATGAGAAAGTTGTGAAAAAAATACAACAGGCAGTGACAATTCGCAGGTAAAATTTTTGAGGTTCCATCTTATACTTAACAACACGCCATTTTGTCTAGCAAAGGTCATTGATCCCCAAAACAGTGATATCTCACTATTAAACAGAAAAAAGTCAAGATGTTGTTTATCAACATTCTCTGAATCAATACTGTTTTAAGCATATAATATATTTAAACGTCATTGCGAATGTTTATAGTTTGTTGTAGTTTCAGCACAAAGCAACACATGGGCTATCTGTGCTCTGCCTACCACGGGTATCGAAACCGTTTTCTAGCGTTGTAAGCCCGCAAATATACTGCTGTGCCACTGGGGGTGCCAATGTTTTTGGAATTTTATGCTTAATTTCATTCACAATTTTCATACAATAATAAAGTAGTATTTGTGTACATTTAATATGTACTATAGTAAAAGCTGTTATCTATTTCGCATCCAAGAGAAGCACTTATGAGTGTATGAAATCTATTTAGCTTTCGTTGTTGTTGTTTTTTGAATTTTTCCTTAGAAGGTTTGATTATTACAACTTTTTTTTTAATTTCAGCCTTTATTCTAAGTAAAAACAGCCCTTCTTTTGTATTGGTTAATGTCAAACTAACTTGTAGAAACAGTAAAAAATAGATGCATATGCTAAAATAAAATTTCCTGAAAAAGAATTAAATATATAACATAAATGACATGTTAGCTCCAATATATTATATTGT